TATTGCTACATTTATGTCTCCTTTTAATTTGGTCAGGATATTTATATCATTTTTATGTTAGTCATTCGATTATGTTTTTATATAATACCTCAGGTTTTATTTACAACCTTAGTCCATGTTATTTCTATTTTCTTTTGATTTAATGTTTAGTTAATTTTATTGTTTTATATATTTAACCTTCATAGTATTATATGATTTTTTTATTATTACACACACACACACACACACACATATATATATATATATATATATATATATATATGTAAAATATATGTTATATTTTACTTAGTCATACGTATGAAAAAAATAATTTTTTAACATATTTATACTTTATATATGTGTGTACCTTATTTGTCTTATATATATATAAATGTGTGTTGTGTTTTATAGTTTTATATTTCGTTATATAAGTATATTTGTCTATATTATTTTATATTTTATTAAGTATTAAATATGAATATTTAATATAGTATTGTATGTACATTTACTATACTTTATCAAATGTAATTTCTTATTATATTTTATTATACATATATTTTATTTTAATGCTATTTTAGTTGTGTAACTGATAAGAGATTCCATTTTACTCGATTAACCTATGGAAGACTTCCAAAAATCTGAAGTGTCCTTCCGAGGGTTATTCAAATAAATTTGATATTTTATTATTATTCAATATTTGTTTACATTATATTTTTTAAGATATATAAACATTTTTCATTTAAAAGATATCTTTTTATATATTTTTTATAACGAAATTGTTTTAATAAATAAATATTTATTGTGTCCTGCGTCGTGGGTTAACGAAATTACATCCAACATGGTTGGATTTAAATTTTTGTTAATTCACGTAGTAAGGGGACACCCTTCTTAAATAAATTCGAGAGAACTAAATCATGTTGTTCGAGTCAAATATTTTAAAAAATAGTTACTCATTCTTCAAAATTCATCAAAATAAAATGATCATAATTTAAATATTGAATTTGAATATATAAAATTCCACTACTTAGACAACGTATAATCGAGAGGTACCAATTTTGGGCGTTGTGAGGGTGTTAATCCTTCCCCACACGTAATTGACTTTCGAATCCTTAAAAATGAATTTCTGGTGACATGCAGACCAATTTTTGTCTTTAAAATGATTCTTGTTAAAATTGTTTTAAAAGATATTTTTACGTATTCGACCTACCTAACCCAAATGTCAATGGCGACTCCAAATTTTAAATTAAACAAAAATCTAAAATTTCCAAAAGTAAAGTCATGTTTATTTTTAATATTAATTATTTCAATTTTGGACCTTTTAAACACAACCCAAATTACTTATGTGGTTAAAGAAATAGTTGTTACTTTTTGGAGATTCCGGGTTCGAGCATCACCAAATGCAGTAGGGGTGATTGAACGTTTATTATCAAATAGTTGAGGGTACTTAGAACAAATATTACTTTGTTGTAACACCCAAATCTCGAAGATTCAAGCATCACACGAAATCACCGAAGTGACTAACCATTTTTTTCTTACACTCAAACATACTCAATTTAAAAAGATTTACATAAAATATGAAATCATAATCATTTACAAAAGCGGGGCCCCAATTTAGAAACTCAGTAAATAAATAGATAATTAAAATATTACAAGTTGAATCATTTCAAATCATGACCACTAAATGCCCACTAAGCCGACATCGTTGTACTCTGGTACTTCACTGAGACTCATCTGATGATATAGTTGTCCCATCACACTTCACAAAACCTAAAATCTACAAACGAAAACACGTTTCAAAATTTAAGCTCACAAGCCCTATGCCACACAATACCTCTACTATACTACATGCATTCATAAAATAAGCATGCTAACAAGTATAGTCAAAGAAACAATACAACTATCCCATCAATGCTACTGCACCATATATTCAAGGTACATCTACTGTCATAATGGTATGAGTCTCGTGTTTTATTTAGTCTACTACTAAAGGCCTCACCATGAGTATACATATATCAATCTCTAACCATAATAAAACGCTACTATATGTCATTATATGCAATATAAAAAAATCAAACACACATGCTGAGTAAGACATCATGGTGTGTTCAGTTTGATACATCTCGAGACATACACCCCTCTAGCCAACACTTGGCTAACCAACTTCTTTTGAGTACTCGGGGCCTCATGCCAGACTATCAACTAAAGTGCCTTGTGCACTAGTTGAGATATATCTGGATATCCTAACAAACAAGACGATCGTCATGTACATAAAAATATGTTATGGTGCCCAAAGGCCATACACATAAATCAATGTAATGCAAGGACAACCAAGGTAGCTCAACTAATCATTATCATAGATATAACTCAACACAATTGGGTAAGTTTATCCCCTCACTTGCTACTATCTCGATCTCTTTTTCATCTAGTATATTATGCAAGGGTAAGTCTTATGACATCTTACTATATAAGATTCTTAAGCTTTTGTTGTACTCATTAGATGTTCTTACTTGTGAGTTCATTGGAGGAGTTTCGATGATCCTAGACCCCTAATTGAGTTCTTAACCTAAAGTGGGGTTTCTTGCCCAATTCAATACGATGGTATCAATATTGAACCCTTTAATATCGATACCAACCCTTTTGTATCGATACCCACCCTTGGTGTTGATATCAAAATTGTGTTCTTTAATATGATAAGGCTTTGGAGTATCGATACTTCTATAATAGGGTATCTATACCATTTTGGGTACGGGTAATGGCTACTAGAATTTGTGACTTAACGATGCTATTGATACATCACCCTTTGGTATCAGTACTCTCTATATATAGTACTGATACTACCCAACTAAAAACCCTGATATTAGTCATTTGTATTATTTTTACTGAGTCTTCATGAACAAGTTCTCGTTATAGAGCTAAATGTTTCATATCATTATTTAACCAATGTGCAACTAAAACTATTACTCATATAAATTATTTCGTTTACTGAGGCCCATAAGGGCAATTTAGTAATTGTATCCCCTCCAAGGGTACTATAGTAATTTACCTCATTCACAAGTATATCGGATGTTTAAGGATTATGGAAATAGTACTTAATTAGTTACTAGTGTCTTAACATCTTTTTTTTTGCGCTATTAGCTTTTCATATCACTTATTATGACTTAGGGGGTATTTTAGTTATTTTATCCATTCGAGGGCATTTCAGGTTTTAATCCAAGTTTAATGAATTTCCCATACTCGAGCTAGATGTTTGACCTCATTAAATATTAAACTCCCCATAATCAAGTCTATTTGACATCTTGAAGTCACTTAGCCATTTTGAATACAAATACCAAGCCTTTTGTATGGATACCAGTTCATCTGGTATGGATACCAACTCATCAGGTATGGATACCAATCCATATGGTATCGGTACCAACCCTTTGGTATCGATACAAGCCTCTAGTATCTATACCACAACCCTCAATATCGATACTAAGGGACCAGTATTGATACTCGTTGATCCAGTATCGATACTAAGACCTAGAAAACCCATTTCACCCAGAACATGAACATATGGATATTATTCATACAATAGCGATACTATTACCTAGAAATACATTGTTTTGATTGGGAAACATCCCCAAACTCACCTCAAACATTTTTTTTAAGGTCTAATTTGATTATTACATCTTATAAAAAGTCATTAATGTAATTATACATCATTTGTATACTAATCTAGCACCAAAACATCCATAAAAACAAATCAAGCACCTAAGTCCCTACATGCACTTCCATCCCATAGAAGTAAGCCATGCTAAATTTTATGAACTACAAGTAGTAGGGAATAGTTATATTATGTTACCTCAGCTCCTAACAAACCCAAAAACGTCTCTAGCTTACCCAAGAACAACTTTTCCTTGACCTAGCTCTTTGGGGGTTCTTGGACCACTTTTCACCACTAAAATGCCAACCAATGACTCTGACATGAAAAAGAAGAATAGTAGTTGCTAAAAAACAACTAAGCCATAAGAAAAATGAATGGAATCAAGAGAGGAAGCATTTAGAGCTCAAACTCTACCAAAACTTCATGAAAGCTCATCAAGAACACCATTTTATGGAGATGGTGAGCGTTTCATGAAGCTCTAGAACTCTTGGTTATGAATCTTATCTCTAGATTTTCGGATGGGAAAACACATGAAGAAAGATAAAGCCCTGGACTATATCTCTTGTTTGGTGGAGAAAGAGAGAGAAATAAGAAGATGAAGTAGAAGACAAAGTGAAAAGAAAGATGATAAAGGATTTCAACTTAAAACCCACGGTGACCTCGTCAAAAATAAATAAATTTCAACCTTTTTATTACCCAATGGTCTAATTACACATTTAGTCTTTTCTCTTTTTATCTCAACTTAAAAATCTCATTTTTGTTATCTCAAGTTGAACTAAATTCTCTACCGATTGAATTCAATTTCGAACCAATGAATCTCCATGCTATAATAAGTCTATTAAATAAATTATTGGATCGACACAAAACTACTAGACTGTTATCCGTGGTGTTACATTTGTAATCACCATATCTTATAAAAGAATTTTTGGATCATTTAAGGAGCATGAAAGTATCTAAATCACTGAAATAACACTAATAATTATAACACTAATAATTATAATTTAATATTATATTTATTAAATTTTAATTAATAAATATCTAAATAAAAAATTATATTTTATATTTTTAAAATTAAATTAAATATTTTCCACATTAAAATTTAAAAGATGAATAAAATAAAGTGGGTCGAATGTGAAGTGTGAAAACAAATGAAGCCGAAGCACAAAAGTCCAAACCCAATGGCCGACTCTTGGTATCGTAATAAGGCCTTATCCCTTCTTTCATTCCTCACAACGGAACTCCTAAACCCTAATTTATATCTCTCTTTTCCCTATTTATAGTTACGCGAAGCGGTTGAAGGTAATGCCATAGATGCTTTGATTTTATTATCTTTTAAGCGATGTATCTTTGAGGCTTAGATTTTGTTGGTTTTCAATGATAGAAGGCTGTGATGTTGAATCCTACCTATTTCATGAAGGATTCTTTTTTATTTCCATATCGTGATTAGAAAATCATCAATCGATTCTTCTGAGCCTTCTCCTATGTTTTTTTTCTATTTAATTAAGAGAATTAATATGTGTGTCGGATCCATTGAGATGATGATTTCCTTTTCTGAAATAAAACTTAATGTAAAATTATCAAACTACAATTATCTAAACTATTACTCTACTGTTTATGATTCTCTACGAATGTTATTTCTGCTTCATTCTGTATATGCAGGACCTACTCCTTTTCAATGTGAAATATAATATATATTAAGCCAACAATTTTGTTAAGCAAACTGTTTTGATCTCTTTCATTTGGATAACAGTTATAAATTAGGGATGCTCACGGCGTGGGACAGATTGGATTTTTTTTTTATGTCTCGACTTTGATCTGAAAATATATAATCTATATTTGACCTTGAATTCGTCTCGATGGTTTTTAGTTTTTCTTCTATTTTGAGTTTGTACTAATTTTTAGACTAAAACCTTAATCCGACCTGATCTAATTATATTAATATTTTAAAATAATTAAATTAATATATTTTATAATAATTTACTATTTTTAATAAATAAATTATATATATAAACAATATAAAAATAAAAATATCTAAGATATTAAGTATTTTGTATATATAAAGAGTTTATATCGAATTGGGTTGCTGATCTCTCATCTTAAATTTAGTCTCCTCTTACCTTGAATCTACCTGTTATATAATTCGTCCTAGACCCTGGAGTTTCAACGAAAGAAATCATCCTTATAAGATCAAACAGAATTGAGATCAGTTGGATTAGGCCATTTTGACCGTCCCTATTATCAACTAGCTATACTCGTCTTTCAAAAATTAGGTTCAAATTGAGTAACGAGCGGAGAGGTGTCATATTCATCATGGGTTTGAGTGGATCAAAAACATGATTCGGCTCCACTCATCAGCATTCTAGAAATAATTCATACATATTGGGAAGACTGAATGGGATCTAAATTATGGTTGTGGTTAGGGGTTTAAAATAGGATATCCGTATATTTTAGTATTCGTAGTTTTAGGTATTTGAAATTTTTGGGTATTAAAATGTTGGTTTATGTTTCAGCCCATTATATCTGGACACTCGTAAGTTGGTACTCATAAAACTTCGGTATCCGGGTCACAACTGATTTATAATTTCTTTTTTTCTTTAAATTATATTATTTTTAAAAAAATTATATAGAAAAATTTTAAAATATTAAATTTAAAGGTATTTAATATATAATTCATACATAAAGTTTAAAAATTCAAATTACATAATTGAAAAAAAAATTATTAAAAATAAAAATATAATTAAATTTCAAATGTTTTGAAGTTAAAATAAATATTTTAAAAATAATTTAGAATGTTAATGTAAAATAATTTAAGAAATTAAGAATTTAGAATGTTATGGTAGTAAAATTTTAAAAATTAGGAATTTTGAATGTTAAAGTGAAATAATTTGAGAATTATAAATAAAATTTTAATATAAAATAAAAATAAAAAATAATATATATATATATATATATATATAATAAACCTTGTATTGGGTGGGCAGGTACCCGGTTAAGCAAGATTTTGTGACCTGAACCCGATTTGAAAATCCAAAAAAATTTGTGGGTCGAGTAACAAACCTGGAAAATTGAATATTTTCAAAATAGATATCTAACATTTTTTAACCGGGTCAGTAGACTGAATCAACAACGTTAAGTATTTTTTAACACCCTAATTGTGGTTATGATTTTAGTTGTGTTATGTTTACAATAATTGTATTACAGTTGTGAAATAATTACTTTGAACGATGCCTTCATTACTGTAAAACGTTTACTATTTTAATAAAAAAAATAATTACTTAAAACCATGAATAATAAATGCAGATATTTTAGACATTAAAACCATAACAGCTTGATTGACAATGTCCATAATCGATGCCATTGAATCTTAAATTGCTGCAATCACTTTGAAAGGTTGCAATTCTAAATTAACACCAAATAACGAGAGATTATTATAAAATAGTATTTATTTAGAGAATTTTTCTTAATCAATGATAATATATATTTACATATATAATTAAAAAGAACAATAATTATTTTAATTATTGATATCATTCGATGGATCATTACAGACATGACATAAGGTCATTGAGTGTCCACTTATAAACAATATAAGAAAATCCAAGTAAAGAGATTTAAACATTCAAGGGAGATGAAACAGGTTTAGTATGCCCAAAATCAGGCACAGTGAATTTCCATTTCACTTTTACAAATAAATCAACCAGTAAAAGGGTGTGAAGGATGTTATGCATATTTTAGTATTTTATTTTTTTAAGTACTATAGAATAACCATGCAATCGAAAAATTTAAGGTTAAAGAACAACTGAAAATGTATACAACTGAAAATGTTATAAAAATCATAACATTTTTTATTAAGTGCAACTTAAAATGTTAACGTTTTCGGTTGAACTGAAAATGTTATACAAAATATAACATTTTAGGTTACCGACATAAAGTTTTCAACTGAAAATATTAAGAAAAAACTAACATTTTAGGTTGCTCACAACCAAAAATGTTTTTATAACATTTTCGCTTGCATCTTACCTCAGCCTTAGATTAGGTTGTCTTTCCTTATACTCTCCCAAACTTGATTCAAGCATGTTAAAAAGTTAATTAAACTATATAAGCAAGGACTTAAAATTATTAAAAATATTTATTTTAATAGATAATTAATATTATAAATAAGTACTTAAATTATATCATTTTTTATGTAAGTACCTAATGTATTTTTAATTCTAGTAAGCACTTAAAGTTTTTTTTAATCAAAATATGTACTTAAAATATTTTTACTCAAAATAAATACATACAATGTTTTTCTCCATCTAAATGCCTAAAATTAATATCATGTGCCAACTTTTTATAATTTTGATGAAAAAAATTACATATTTTGAGTGCCTGCAGAAACTATTATGTTCCTACTTCGGGAAAAAAAAAAGATGACTTTAGATATTTATCTTGATCAAAAAATATTTTAAATACTTAAATAAAAATGATGATATGTTTTAGCTACTTATTTGAAATATAAGCATTAATATTATTATAAATGTATTTTTAATTTTTCATATTCTTTGTATAATTTTATAAAAACAACTAAAAATCATTATTGAAAATTTAAACACCAAACAAATAGATTTATGTAAATATCATTTCCACCTAAATCATTTATTAAATTACTTTTTATAAATAAAACTTCCATAGAATCCAATTCACCCGCGGATTTAATGTGGTGTCATCGGCTGTCCATGCCTAGTTGATAGTATATTTGCAGAAGGGCCCAAAATTTGACTGCAAATTGCGAGATTTGATTACCACTAATCCCTAAGCCCACGTGAGAGAGAGAACATTTTTTGCTTGCATCTTTTCATGAAATGGAAGAACTTCCAGAAACCTGCAATTTCATTTGTAATGTTCCAGCATACAATGACGTCCCGCTTCTCCCATCTTCCACCTATACACCCTCCAAGGAATTTTATCTCTACGGAAAACACCCGCCATGGATGACAAGCCTGAAGTTCACAATCCGAAGCCGACAATGGCAGCAACTCGAGTCATCATCTGTCACGCCATCTATTTCCCTGTCTGTTCTGGTTCATGTGCCCAGTTGGATCCCCTTGCAATTGATGGCCTGTCAGCTCTATAGCTCCATCCAGAATTCATTCTGGGTTCAATGTAGTTCCGTCCCGTCTCATACTACGCAGACCTGTTTTAACTATTATCCCTATTCCATGATTCAAAACCATCAGTATCCGTGTACTCATTTCCTTCTCGCAGAGGCCGCATAGATCCCGTGAATGATGATGCATTATAATTGTTTTGATTAGCCTGATTCCAACGTTCAGCGCCGCACAGCTCTCCACCGTACGATTGGATGGAGATTCAAGGGTCCAGAAGCCATCCACCAGAAACCCTAGGGTTATCATCTCGCCGCATCCAACTGCTCCAACTGAAGGTTGCCACGCCGTTTCCGTCTCTCCAGATCTCTCCAGAACTCTCTAGAAGATGCACACCAGTCGTATAGCGCATCACTCTAGGTGAGCCACCGCCATAGCCTTGGTGACTCACAGGAGTACCCCCTTGTGACCGGTCCTAAGGAAGCACCACTGAGCCCTTTATAAGGAACCGATTGAACCTGCAAAGAACAACAACAGCAAGAGAGCAAGGAACCGACGAGCAGAAAATAAAGAGATACACAATGAACAACAAAGAGAGATTTATTCGAAACTAAGCCACACAACGAGAAGCAACAACCGAAAGAGAGGAGAATCAAAAGAAAAACTTACCGAGGAGTCCTCAACGTTGCCGGAAAGTTGAAAAGTCGAAGGTAAAATTGTAGATCTAGGTTGATTTATCAACTTTTAGCAAAAAAGAGGCTTGGATTCGGGTAGGGGTGCTACGATCTACGTTTTGGGAGAGTGCGAAATTTCGGCCACCGTGAGTGGTGGTCGGCGGTGACGGTCAACGGCGGTTCTCGGTTGCCGGTTGGTGACCGACCATTCCACCGATGTGTATTTTAGAGAGAACCGAGAGAGATCTCTCGGGTTATAGAGAGAAGAAAAAAGAGAGAATGGCCCTTTAAGGGTCAGATTTGGGCATTTATATGCTTTCCCATACGACGTCATTTTGAGAGAGAGGCTTCAGTGTAATTAGCGCGTGGAAAAGCTAAACTTGTGATTCCTTGCATTTTGTAATCTTCGATTTTAGTCACGAAATCAGGTTTTTCGTAATTTTAATTTTTTTTTTATATTTTATTTACTTTTATTTTAGTCACTACCATATTTATGTATTTAGGTTAAATTACATGCTTAATCCTTAAGTAGTAATAAGTTTATATTTCGATCTAGATATAATAAATTAGGATAAACTACATAATTAATACATTACTTTAATATTATTTCGAATAAGGATTAATTAATTAATACTTTATGTTTTAATCATTAATTATTAGTATATAATTAATTATTATTAGAATTTATATTTTTAGGATTACCATCATTGAGAATTT